GTGATTGATCTCAGGACCCTGCACTTGCCAGGCAAGCTCTTATTCTACTGAGATATCTACCTAGCCCCTGAAGGAATTTCTTTTTTTTTTTTTTTTTTTCTGGTTTTCTGGGGGCCTGTGCAGGATGCCTTCAGGGCAGGTCTAGTTTGGGATGAGGGGATTGAACCACAGCATCCTGAGCCTAACTGCTTTGTTTCAGCAGGCACTTAAACACCTGAGCTAATGGGCAGGTCCCCAAAACCAGATCTAATTAAGAATCCCAGCTGTATATTTTAGAGAGGCAGCCTAAACCTCTTTACCTTGTGCTGCTGCTGGCTGTCTCTTTGCTTCTGTATGTGATGTAGTACTTAGTACAAAATGGATTTAGTCCATTTTCTGTTGATAGAGCAACATATGTGACTGAATAATTTATAAAGAAAAATTGAGGGCTTGGGAGATAGCTCAGTAGAATAAGTGCTTGCCTGGGAAGTGCAAGGTCCTGAGTTCGATCCCCGATACCGGAAAAAATAAAAAAAGATTATTTAGTTCATGATTCTGGAAGCTGGAATGTCTAAAAGCAGGGCAACCAGATGTGCTGCACAGAGGAAAAATGGCACACACTGGAGAAGAAACCCAAAGTGAATACAATTTTTTTTTTTTTTTTTTTTGGCGGAACCAGGGATTGAACTCAGGTAGTGTGCTTGCCAGGGAAGCACTTATTCCACTGAGCCATCTCCCTAGCCCTTTGGAAACCCAAAGTGTAGTATCACTTCATACCAATCTATTCACTTAACTAATACAGTCCTATAAGCGCAAGAACTCACTTCTGTTGGAATTAAGAAGAAAGGCATTAATTCCTCCTACCAATTTGTTACCTCTTAAAGGCTCTCCCCACATCATCACAACAGTCTACCAAGCGTTTTTCAACCACAGCAAGCACCTCAAGAATGTGGATCCCATTAAGTTCTATTCAAAAGCTTTGATGCTTATAGACATATTTGGACATTTTCTCAGTGGGCTAATTTTTAGATGATGAATTAAATAATGCCACTCACCCACATTTCTTCCCTAGTCCCCAATCTGAAAAACATTTTGAATATTGTACTCTGTTTTTATTCATTCTAAATAGCTCCAGGGCATCTGCGAATCTTTTCTAGACTGTGGAGCCACTTGGAGAGTAGTGCCCTAAGTGAGCTCCTGTTTCTGACCCCCTCTGCCTCTTCTTCATAATGTTGCCCATTTTGACACATTTAGCAAAACTGAATTTGTTTCTTAAGGCCCAGCACAGATAATTTCCTTCAAAACCCTCTCCAACTTTCCCACTTTTTCCTGCCCTAAGCAGTGAGCCAATCTTCCCTTCCTGGCCACTAATGTAAAGTGATCATGTTCCATAGCACCTATTATGCAGCCATAGTGTGTCTCACTATATTGTAAACTATGGGAGAGAAAAAGGAGGATAAAATATGACCTACTGCTCTACATAAGTTTTTACTTTAGGGGAAAGAACAACAGTCCAAGAATCAATTTTATTTATTTATTTATTTATTTATTTATTTATTTATTTATTTGGTTGTTACAGGGTCTCACTACGCAGCTCAGATTCATGGTGATTCTTCTGCTTTTAGCCTCCCCCATGCGAAGATTACAGTTGTGCACCACCATGCCCCGACTCTGGCCAGCTCAGCTCGTCCTGGGGATGAGGCTTGTGCAGTATATGGTGCTGGGGATTGAACTGTGGTTCTGTGCTTGCCTAACTTGCCTAAACAGGCGCTTTAGTCCACTGAGCTATATCGCTGGCCCCTCAAGAATTAATTTTAAAGGTAAATATCCTTATACCAAGAAATTTAATTGGGCACTGTGTGGGATAAAATGCCGATTAAGATTTAGTTCCAGTCTTTTTGTTTAATAAAGGAGATATAAATACAATTGACTATAATACAAAATAAAATGTGATATGAACTACAAAAGCTAATAAAGCTACAAGGGAATAGAGGATTTAAGAGAATATTTGATTTTAAAAAAGAGACCTTGAGGGGATAAAAGAGGAAGTCACAATGACACAGGGAAAAAAACAAATGTTGGTGGACGAACTCCCAACCTGAAAGGTGCCTGGGATGAGTTTGTGTTCTCTAAAACCAAAGAATGAATTTTAGGAACAAACGGAGGTTATGAGTAGAATATATTTATTAGGGGAAAGAAAGCTCTTGTCAGAGCTTGGACACTCTGGACAGGAGGAGGGGGGGTGGCAAGCAGGTTGTCCCCGGGAAGTTGTCTCTTCCAGGGACTTTTATAGTGTAAAACCATGCGGTGAATTGGGTCTAAGGTGGTGGAGAACATAGGCCTGAGGTGTGACAAAATTATGGTAAACCAATGAGATTACAAGCACCATTGCTTAGATAAAATTGATTAAATCTAGTACCAAATGAGGAAGAGTCATGTAGCAAGCAGACATATATACCTCCAGGACAGGGCCTCTTCCTGTAGGGGGTTGGGCTAGTGACTCATTTGAGCTCTTTCAAGGCGATTGATACCTATTTAGAATATCAATCCCTGATGCTCAACCCTAGAGAAGTATGTAGCTGTATTTGTTTCCTCTTTTGTCTTGAGGTGTGGCCCAAATGGGAGTGTCTGTCTCTTCCAAGTTGCAAAGTCACCTTGTCTTCCATCTTATCTCTTTGAGGGCCTGGCCCTGTCTGACTGTCTATAATATTTCTATCTAATTCATCTGTTTATAACAATATTACAATCGAGTCTTTTTTTTTTTTTTTAAGATAAGGTCTTCCTGTGTTATTTAGGCTGGCATTGAACTTGCTTATGTAGCCCAGGCTGGCCTCAAACTCATTACAGTCCCCCTGCTTCAACCTCCTGAGTTCTGGGATTAAAGGTGTGCAACAAAATGCTCTTTTTTGGGCTGGGGAGATGGCTCAGTAGAATAAGCGCTTGCCTAACAAGCACAGGGCCTGAGTTCAATCCCCAGTTCCACAAAAAAAACCAAAATGCCCTTTCTGTACAAATATCCTGAAAACCAGGGAATAAATCTTAATCAGCATTTTATCCCACGCTGCGCTGAATAACAATTGAGTCTTGCAGAGAGGTAAAATGGGCTAAAGCAGGAAGAATTTCTATAGGAAGTAAATGTGTTGAGGGCTTGAGACAAGAAAGCTCAGAACACAGGGCCCATGAGATAGTTCAGTGGAATAAGTGCCTGCTTAGGCTAGTGCAGGGACCAGGGGTTCCGCAAGCCCCATTGGTCCCTCCCCTACCCTTGCCCCTGCGTGCACTGAGCCAGCTGCTGAGACCAGATATGGTGGCACAGGCCTGTAATTCCAGCGCTGGAGAGGCTAAAAACAGGAGGATCACTACGAGTCTGAGGTAGTGAGATCCTTATCAAATACAGACATTTAAAAAAAAAAGTTCACAACACGCTTTCAAAAGTTTAGTTGATTAGTTTGGCTAGGAAAAGATGTGACAGAAGATTAGAAGGCCAAGAATCCCACGCAGCAAAATTTAGTTATAGAAGGACAGCATGCA